GGACTTGTAAAAGAATGTTCACAGCAGCTTCCTTCATAAAAGCCCCAAACTGAAAACAACCCAAATGGTCTTCCAGGCAGAATGGACAAATGAATGGTTGTATAATCAAAGAGTGGAATATTAGCTATTAATAAAAAAGAACAAACTACTGAAATACACAACATGCATGAATCTCAAAAACATGCTGACAAAAGAAGCCACTTTTGTTTTCCTATTGTATATTGTATTCCATTCATAAAAGAGTCTGTTGTTTGCTGTAGACAACCTCTGAATCAATCACACTTATTTCCAGAAAGTATAGTGTGTGTGTGTGTCTATTTGGAAGTCATAACATGTCAAATAGTTAATATAAATGAATGGCTAATGATTTAATATTCAGTTTAAAATGTTTTAATTATGTCATGTGATACACACAAATATATCTAATATATGTATGTTATTTAACATAATCAAACTCATTCATTCTGTGCATATTCATTTGCTCATTTACTCCAAACATATTTATAGAGGGCCAAAAATATATTCCTGGCAACCAAGTTCAAACCATGACTCAATCACAAATACAATGTTGATATATCACTTCTTCTTCATGACAGAATCTGAGTGTACCTTTCAGAATACAGTTTACTTAACATGAGTTTCCTGGTCTGCTCCCGGGAGGAAAAAGTGTTACAAACCTAACAGTCACAGACTTATGAAGCAAAAACAAGTTTGGTGCCAGTCGGGAACTGCAGATTCAGGACTAGTAAGTGAGGCTGTCATTTCAGGCCTCCACGAACTCCCCTTCCTGCCTGCGCCTGCCACTGGAAGGCAAGCTAAAATGTGCAGACACACCCTGAAGGAAGCTGTTGCCTGGTGAGTGGGCTCAGGACTCAGGCCAGGAGGAAGAAATGCCACCATCACAGGCAGCTACCCACCCCCACCCTTCAGGTAACTTCCCTCCCACTCGCCAACCCCCTTGGGAGTCACACCTCAGAATCTGCTCTAAGCTGGGCCTTGACGTGTGTGATGATGAGCAAGGAGTGATTGCTGCTCCCCAGAGAATCTGTCTACAGACCACACTACCCAGTGCCCGGGAGGGTATCTGTCAGGGTACTTCCTATACTCCTCCTGCATTTTAAAGAGTGTTTAGAATGTTCATGCCTCCTGATTCAGTATCTCCACTCCAGGAATTCACCATAAGGGAATAATCAGAGCTGAAGGAAGTAATTACGGCCTGAGCAGCTCACTTCAGCATACTTATAATAGCCTACAGAACACTCTCCCACCCCAAAAGGATCAGAGCAATTTAAATGCCTCACAATAAGGAAGTAGTCAAATGATTTATGACAGTCATAAGATGGACTACTATCTGTAGCCATGAAAGACAAGCTCTTCAGAAAGATTAAAGTACGAGAAAATGCTGACAATACAATGTAAGATGACAGAACTGAGATAAAAGCTGTATATACCAGGGTTTCTCACGGGGGGGAGATACTGTAATGGAATTCCTCATGCCTTCCAGAGGTTCTGCTGATCCCTGAGAATCAGCGTAACCGAGAGGCGTGAGCTGTTATCCTCAGACAGTCTAACGGTAGGGGATGGGAGGCTGAAAACCAGTGGTACATACAGCATTATTCCCATATTGGGTAAACCTGAAAAATGTACGAATATACACAGATCAGAGGTAATTAATGCCAGGCCACCTGTGATTGGTAAGGTCATGGCCTTGTAGACCAATACTTCTCAAGCTTGAATGTGGATCTTGGTAAAAGCTGGATTCTGATTCATTGTGTCTGGGGTGGGCCTGAGATTCTGCACTTCTAACAAGCTCCCGTTGCTGCTGGTCTGCAGGACACACAGAATCAGCAGGCAGCAGGGGCAAGGATACCAATGGGAAATGGCAGGGGCTGTGGAGGGAAACCCCTGCAGAACGGTCAGAAGGGAGCAGCTCTGTGGGCTGTTAGCTGGGGTGGGGAGGGCCGTGGAGGCTGTGCAGCATCTCACTGGAACACCTGGCTGGGAGCGGCGGAGGAGAAAAAAAGGAGGAGAAAGGCAACAGTTCCATGAAGGTCCGGACCTGGGCAGGAGGAGGAGGGAGCCCAGAGCCCCGCCTCCCCCTGAGCCCCACTGGTACCTCCGTGAATGGGTCTGGGCAGGAGCTGTCAACCGGGCGACCTCTGCCTCGGCTGCTGGCAGGGGACTCTGCGGGGGACGGGCTACCCCTCCGTTCAGCCTCCCTGGACACAAGGGATGCTTTCAGCTTCCCGAGAACACCTCAGCTCTCAATCTCCCCCTTCCCCTCCCCAGACGTCATCACTCCCTATGACTCCTTAAGGGCATAAGGAATACGAACACGGGTTACCTTCTCTGATAAAGTAGAACGCACAGCCCACTCCTCTGTTCCTACTTCTGGGCTCCCCTCTGGCCTGAACCTCAGTTCCCTTGTGTACCTCTCCTGACAGAGAGCAATAGGCAAGAGAAACAAATGCAAATAAATAAGCCCGCACCACTGGTCAAAGATCAAATTGGATAGCCCTTTGAAAACGACAAAATGTTCTGCCAATACAGGTTAACAGCACCTCTATTATTTCTCCAAGTTAAAAGTAAACCCCCTGGGGTACCTGGTCTTTGACTTCGCCACCAAAGGGCAGGTCGGACACAGTACTTCACGGGGCCTGGGTCAGGACTTCGTATTTGTTAGCTGCTCCCAGCATTCCCGTGAGGAGGGCACGTCCCCAGCTGACAGAGGACTCAGGTGGCATGAGCCCCGCCGCAGCCGCCGAGGCAGAGGCATCTGCCCCATCTACGCAGTCCGCTCCTCCCCCACCAGGGGCCGGCGGGGGGGACCCATCTCCTTTCCAGAGGCACAGCGCATTTTAATCCCCAGACCACAGGGCCACAGCCCCAGTTCCCGGCCCCGTTCTCGTCATCAGTTCCAAAGCTGCTCCGCCAAACCCCCTGCTGACATCTGTCACGGAGGACATTTCCTCAGGCCACGAGGCAGGCCAGGCGGCCTCTGAAAACAGGGAGGTCAGAGCTGGAAAGCGTGTCTACCCTGCAGCCTGCCTTCTAAAATTCTCGGGGGGAAATCCCCCGAATAAAGGCCAAAGCGAAGGAAGGCGGGGCTCCAGCGACAGCGACAACCAGCGCTCAGGGAACCCCTACTCCACGCCGGGCCCTCCACGTGCCGCTTCATCCTCGCAGCCCTGTGAGGTAGGTGTGCTCAGTACTTCCATTTTACACAGGAGAAAACCGAAGGGCAGAGTGGTTAGAAAAATAGGTCAAGGTCACACAGCGAGGTGGTGGGAGAACCAGGGAGACATCAGCCACCTGGCGAGAGTCCACACTCGGGGGCGCCACGCTTCACCTGTGTTTGCTGAGGCCGGTCATCAACCTAGTCTCCTTGCAGGCCGTGTGTTTGACCAGGGAGTAGTAATCACCTACCTGAGAACACGCCCAGAGCTCCCCAGAAAGGTTCCGATCAACCCGCTGGCCTGGCACTTAGGAAAGCCCTCGGCTTCTAATGTCCTTCTGCCAACCACACAAGGCAGCCCGCCTGCAGCGCCCCCCGTCCCACGTTTCTTCTCACACTGGGGTACGCACACACCTAGACTCACAGCTCTAGTGACAAAGGTCACAAAACGACACCTGACGTTTCCTCAAAACCGCACAGCAAGGTTCCATCTGTACTTCCTTCTCAGCACTTCTGCCTCACCATGCCCACACCTCCACACAGCAGCCACGAGTACTCGGAACTCAGGGAGAGGAAACAAAGATCTAAACAGCAGCCTCTCCTGCAACGAAACTCCACATATAGACAGAGGCAGGAACATCTGTCCCACGACCCTTGAGCGAAAGTTTCAAGATGAGGAATCAGGCCACTCTTGGACTTGCACCCCAGAAACCTCTCAAAGGCTGGACTAGGGCACCTCAGTTCCTCCTGCCTGTGGAGCTTTCCGACGGGGCCATGCCTCAGTGGTGTGCAGGACAGATCTGTCACCAGCTGGAGAGGGGTGGGCAGAGGAGGGGGAGGGGATTACTTTCTGGGGCCCTCAGAGCAGAGAGCCAGGGCACAATCTCAGGATCCCTCTGGATCCCAAAGTCAGGCTGCTTAAAGACAGAGGGCTTCTTGGTGGCCCACCCCTACAGGACACCCCGGGGAACCCCCCCAGGTGCACAAGACCCATCTTCCTGCTCACAAAGAGTCAGTAGTTTGGGGTTTGGGAGGCCCTCCTTTTCTCTGCTGCAGCGTGCCCACACATGTACTCCATTCTTATTGTATTGCAGGGGTAGTAAGCTCTAAAGTTCTATGTAAATGAGTAACACAGACAGGGTGTGAGAAAAATGATGACATACCTTGTATTTTCTGTCACAGAATCACTGCAGAGTAAACACAAGAGTGTTCATTCTCTCAAAGGAATATGCTCTTTCCCTTTTTCTTGGGACAAGAGCCCTCAAGCTCTCTTGGGTTATTCCATATTGGGGAGATGCACACGTAGGAAGAACTCTTACTGTAAGAAACAACAGTGCAAGTGCGATGGTCCCTGGGCTCAAGGACGGGGACCACGATAGGGAGTGGTGGAGACCAGGGGGAAATGGAGTACACTACCCTTCTCTAGAGAGAAGGCTGCTCCAGTACCGCCTTCAGGAATTCTTGGGGGCAGAATATTTGAAACCTCCCAATTGTCAACATTGGCTCAGCTTTGTTTTTGATTTTCCCAAACTCTGTGCTGGCCTGATAAAACATCCTTGTCGGCTGGATGTGGCACACGGCCCCAGTTTGTAACCAGGGCAGTTGAGTGTGGCAAAAAAGATAGCTTGCCTTGGGCTTCCCTGGTGGCGCAGTGGTTGAGAGTCCGCCTGCTGATGCGGGGGACACAGGTTCGTGCCTGGGTCCGGGAGGATCCCACATGCCGCGGAGTGGCTGGGCCCGTGAGCCATGGCCACTGAGCCTGCGCGTCCGGAGCCTGTGCACCGCAACGGGAGAGGCCACAACAGTGAGAGGCCCGCGTACCGGAAAAAAAAAAAAAAGAACTCTTGGGTACGGTAGCTCTGCTGTCTGCTAGAGTTTGGACCAGCACAGAGGCTGGAAATAATGTAAACTCTAAGGTCCAACAGATCTGAATTTGAATCCTGGCTCTATTTTTACCAGCTGCCAGACCTCAAGTGAACTACGAACCTCTCTTAGCTACAATTTCATCCACAAAATGGGTTGAAAATACCCAATTTAGAGAGCTTTGTGAGAATTAAAAACATGTGTGTGAAGATGACTTGAACTCTTAATGAATGTTAAATTTCCTTCCCCCATATCTCCAAAGAAACCACCTGGCAAGCCTTCACTTCTCTAGATTTTCAAATTTCTCATCTGCTAAAAACTAAAATAATCCTCCAGCACCGCTGCTGAACTTCACAGGATGGGATGAAGTGATGTAGATGAGAGCTGAGTGCTTACAAATTAGAAGAGGATTATTGAGTGGATTGCCAACACCCTTTCCTCTCGTTTCTAGGCCAACAAAGCAGTATGTAGTTTGCTTTTCTAATGTGTTTATACCCTTCCATAACATGATGCGGGAGAAGATGGTGTCACATTTGTGGTAATTCCTTAAAATGGCGATTAACAATAAACTCTCCAGAGTCCGCCCAAATCTACCGTCCTCTCACAGAGGAGAGCATACATGAGGTCACTGCCTGTTCACTTAAGAACCTGGCAAGTTTCTTTTCTCTCTCCATGTTCTTGTCTCAGAGAACTGAGGTCGAAAATAAAGTCACTTAACAGTTGCCTATTTCTTTGATTCACACAAAGAAAACTGTCACAAGCCAAACAATTTCACTTAAGTACCATCATGAATTCACTAGGATATTTCCCAACAGTAAGGGGATTTTGGTTGGTTCTCTCATTTTCCCATGCACTACGAGGAAACTGGGACATGCTCTGACATTTCCTCAACTGAATCTGACTTAAAGCATCTTTACAACCTCTTTTATTCTAGTGAATCTACACGGGCAAGGTCTAGGCTGAGGGGATTCATCTAACACTTCAACTTTCAGCTATCACTGATATCATTTACTTGCGTTGTTTTCTCTTAAAAGCAAGGAGGCATTAAAATCAGTTCCACGATATCTACTAAGAAATGTGGGTTTATCTTGCAGGACTATATGCCTCCCTTTCCTCCCTCTATTGAACTTTAATAGCTCCCTCATAAGATCATCACGTTTCCAAATTATTCATCAGGCATGATAGAATGAGTAGGAATTATACGGTAAATCCAGAGGGGGCAAAAATAAGCAAGTTGGATGAATATATAGATATAACTTCCCATGTCCCTCCTCTTGAAAGCAAGGTTCTTGGAAAAGAATACACAGAAATTTCAGGAGCCAGTTCTTTGCTAAATATTTACACTGCATGATACCTGAAGCAAACAAGGTAAGGACAGGAAACAGGCCACACACACACAGATAAGATCTCTCTCGGGTAATAAGTAGAGCTCCACTCACCTTGTGATTCATTTTCATAATGTTGACTTTGTACTGATGTATACAATGCTTCCAAAAGTGTACGCAAAACCTAAGTGCGTACGGGAGTGTTCACTACTCTGAGCTCTGTTTTTTGATGAGCGTAACTTAGAAAGGATTTGGGCAGTTCAGAAAAATTGCTAACACATTTTATACAACCTGTCCATTTGGAGACAGCTCAACCCCTATGCTTGCTAATACCCTTTGTATAAAAAAAAAGCTGACCCAGCATCCACCTGCATCAACTTGATCCTCTCAGCTTTGTCACACTCAGCAAATGCTCTGTGCCTTCGCAACAAAATAAAGCGGCACCCCTGGGAGGGACAAAAAGACTTGTTATGAGTCTGGAGAGGCAGCCTTTATACCCAGCTAACAAAGAGTGAGGATCTGTGGAAGGCTTTGAATCTAGAACCACTAGCGTTACCTTCCAAATCTACCTTCTGCAAAAAACCTCCACAAGTGGGGTTACGTTGAAAGGAAAATGCCAAACATACAAAAGCAGAGTCAAGAGTACAAGGCAGTCCGTACCCCCATACCGTTCATCCATCTTCAACTATTAACAATTCATGGCCAATCTCCCTTCACCTTGTTCCCCCTCACTTCTCCACTAGCAGCCCTCCCCAAAACTGGCTTATTTTGAAGCAAATCCTCAACCTATATTTCAAGTTTAGAATGTATTTCTAACAGATAAGCGTTTAAAAACAACCCTAATCATGATACCGTTACCAAAAGTAACTAAACAAAACTAATATTCTTAATACTAAAAAACAGCCAGTACAAATTTCCTCTATTGGCACAATTTTTAAAAAAACTATTTTCATCAAATCAGGACCCAACCAAGGTTTACACATAGCATTGATGCCTTCTGTCTCTTAGTCTTTAAACCACAGGTTCCCTCCATCCCTATGATTCTCATAGCAGCCAGGCTGATCCTCACCTGCAATTCCCAACAATTCTATTCTAGAGATACCACAAAGAAACTCCAGCCTTAGGGGCTGTCAAGAAAAAACGTGTATGTTAATTAGTCGTTTCATAGTTAAAGAAGTTTAAAAGTAACCTGAAAAGCACAAACGAAATTGATCTGACCTGAAGCCATGAACAATTCTGAGATCCAAACACTCACTCAAGTGTCCTTTGCAATTCTGGTCTGTGGTGGATTTATCTCCGGGGTTTGAACGACCCCCCGCCCCGGCCCTTACCCGAGTTATTTGCACAAGCAAAGCAATGGGGCGAAGCAAGTGCGTTTCCTCCCAGCTGGACCTTCCTCCGCAAGCCGGGTCCTCGCGGTCGCTTCCGGAATTCGGGGGGCGGGGGACCCCGCTGCCACCTCCCGAGACCACCTGCCCAGGTGAGAAGAGGAGTTTCACTGAGCCAACAAATTCCGGAGGGCGGTCCCAAGTTATTTAGAGAGAATTTTGAGCCATCCAGGCTGGGCACAGAGAAACCACCCAGAACGCCACGGTCTCAGAGAACAACCAACCTGAAAAGCCCCAGGGCTTAATCCCAATGCCCGGCGCTCGCGGGGGCACCGTCCCCAACGTCCAAGGGCCAAGAGAGGGGACGCAAAGTCCGCCCCAACGAATACACGAGCATGTGTGCCCGTGACTATATGCCCACCTGTGTGTTCCAGGAAGGAAAGTTGCACACACTGATGTTTTACAATGTTTAATAGCCCTGGAAAGGGGTTGCGAGCTGGATGTGAGTATACACCCAACCTAGGCCACCGGTTCCATCCCTGCACCCCACCCCCGGGTCCAAACCCGGGGAGGACCCGTGGCGCGAAGGCTACGATCACCCCCCAGCCGGAGCGCGGCGTCCTCGGCTTTCAGTCCAGGGCCACCACCCACTCCAGGATCTCTTAAGTAATAAAGAATCCCAGCCCCTGAATCCCCGGGAGTGAAATTCCTCTCCCTCCCCGACGCGCAGAGCACAGCCAGGGAAGCGGGGAGCGGCGCGGTGCCGTCGGCCTCCCCACCCCGGAGCCCCGGGTGAGGAGGGAAGCAGCTGCGAGACGCCAGGCGCGAGTCCCCGCAACTCACCCGAGGCGCGGCGGCTCCCGGCTCCCGGCTCGCGCTCCGCGTCCGCGGCGCTGGGCGCCCGACCAGACCCGCGGCGAGGTCGCCGCCCGGGCACCTGCCGCGCCCGGCCCCAGGTAACCGGGGACAGGCCGGGGCTGAGAGCACGGCCCCGGGGACCCCGCAGCAACCCCGCAACGGCCCCGCGCGCTGCTACCAGGAAGTGCGGATGCAATCCTTTGAGCGCGCACGCCCCGTCGCGACCCCAGCAGGAGACTAGCCGGAGGGCGCCGCCTGCGGGCGGGGCGGCGAGAGGCGTCCAGGCCGCCACCCAGGCGCGCGGGAGAGGGGCCTGGGTCGAGGCTGGCACAGGGGATTCCCCGAGGGTGTAGGGTGGAAGATGAGACCCCCCCTTTTGCGTGCCGGGCCTTCAGATACTCCCACCTCCAGCCCTGCCCAAGGATCTCCCATCTCCTCAGCAGGGTCGGCAGGGGGCCATTGCAGTTTCCTCCAGATGAGGGTATACATAGGGTGACAGAACCTGATATAAACAACCACCTGTAATGCACTATGAATTCACATTTAAAATAAAAATCCGCAAATTGCATATTTGGAAATAGCACACTTATACTGCATTGCCTTTCTTTGTGTCAACATTACTAATTTGTTATATTCAACAAATATTTGTTGAGCACCTACGACTTGCCAATCATTTAAACATTTAAAATATAGCGCAGGGAGTTCCCTGGAAGTCCAGTGGTTAGGACTCTGCACTTCTACTGCAAGGGCCACAGGTTCGATCCCTGGTCGGGTAAATAAGTGCCGCATGCCCAGTGGCGCGGCCAGAAACAAGAAACAAGAAAAGAAAAACCCAGCACAGTTTCCTCCTCCTCCTTTTCCTGAAGAGTCTTCAATAAGTGGAGTGGGCTGGCCCTTTCTTAACCTCCCAGAAAGCTTGAGTGGTCTTGCAAGGAACTTAGCAACGGCCCGCCCAAAGGTGCAGTAAGAACTGAACCGTGATAGAAATAAGTGTGGGCTGCTAGAGGGCCTGCGAAGCGGCTTGACCCAACCTGGGGAGGTCAGAGAGGAATTTCTGGAGAAAGGGACATGTGTGCTGAGTCCTGAAGGACTACAGGATTCACCAGGATGTGAAGTGTTTCAGCCAAGATTCCACTGTGAGCAAAGCCAGAAGCCAGAACTGGCCAGAGAGTGCATGTTCTGACAGAGGAATAGCAAGTGAGTCAGTAGAGCTGAGAAGAAGAGGATGTGAACTGAGTTAGAGCAGGGGGTGTGGGGACCAGATCATGCTCCTATCACAACTAACAGCTGCTGACATGTATACACTGATGTGTATAAAATGGATGACTAATAAGAACCTGCTGTATAAAAAATAATAACAGCGGCCGTCTATGGAGCGTATAGCATAAAACAGGAACTGGACATGCATCACGTCAAACTGTGTGGTCGGGTTATTACTCCCCTTTAAAGAAGAGGAAAACGAGGAATAGGAATGTGAGGTGTCTTGCTACTGACAGGGCTGGGGGGAGGTGACTCTCAAGAGCTAGCCTGCACTTTTCATGGCGCTTTCCAGGCCAATCCAGGAGGCTGAATTATCTTCAGATGTTCTCAGCATCCTCAAGTATCCCCAGGTGCCCACTGCCGTCTCTCCATTCCACAGCCTGTGTCAGCAACTGCCCTCAGACCCGCACCTGCCTAGAACAGATGACAGAGTATACGGCTGTGCACACCACACTCTTTCCCAAGGGGTACTTGGTTTCAGGGGCTGGTGGAGGGACTGTGGAAGAGCCCCTTCTTGTTCCCTAACAGCCATTCTCTCCTTCTCCCATAATAATAGAATTGAAGCTGAGCCCAAGCCTGCTTAGAACAAAGACTACATTTCCCTTCCTCTCTTGCAGCAAAATATCAACACATCAACAGTGGTGCCCAGAGCCCCTAGAATCCATTTGATCCAGCAGTACTTCTGAAGCAGCTGTTTCCTCCCCAACATCTTTGATCTGTCAGATATTTTTCATGGGGCAGACACTGCTTACTGTCTCCTCAATAACCAATCCCCCTTCTTCCCTTCGAAGAGAACTCAGATTTTGTTCCAGGAGGCGATGAGCCGGGCTGAAATGCTCACCTTCCCAGAAGTCTTTGCGGGGCAGTCACATGGCTCGACGGCTGAGGTGGAGGGGGAAGTTGCCTAGAGAGTCCTGAGAAGGTTTTTGCTTTCCTGAAGCAGACACCACCGCTTTTCTCCTGTTTTATTCTGGCTGTGAGGTTGCTGTGAGCTTGGAGGGTGAGCAACCATTTTATGACCACAGGACAGCACACAAGAGAAAAGGAGGAAAAGCACCTACTGCAGACTGCTGAGCTCCAGACTTTTTATTACATGAGAAAAATAATCCCCTTACTTTTTTTTAAATATGAATTTATTTATTTTCGGCTGCATTGTGTCTTCGTTGCTGCACGCGGGCTTTCTCTAGTTGTGGTGAGCAGGGGCTACTCTTCGTTGTGGTGCGCGGCCTTCTCATTGTGGTGGCTTCTCTGTTGCGGAGCACGGGCTCTAGGCTCATGGGCTTCAGTAGTTGTGTGGTCTGGGCTTCAGTAGTTGTGGCATGCGGGCTCTAGAGCACAGGCTCAGTAGTTGTGGTGCTCAGGCTTACTTGCTTCGCGGCATGTGCGATCTTCCCAGACCAGGGATCGAACCCTTTACCCCTGCATTGGCAGGTGGATTCTTAACCACTGTGCCACCAGGGAAGTCCCCCCTTACTTGTTTAAAGCACTCTTGGTTAAGGTTTGTTGCAAGCAATTGAATGCAATCCTAACGGATACACTATTCTTTCCCAAGAAAAGCCTCAGAAATCAATCCACCAACTCTACCTAATACAGTGTGATAGCAGAAAGAGGGTGGGATTGGCATGAGACAATCTATGAGTTTCAGCTCTTCCATTTATTTAGCTAATGACCTTGGGCAATTTTGTGAAATTAGATTACGTATTGTAAAATTAGAAATTGTCATCAAAATACAAGGCATAGTGCTTCCTGGCATATGGTGAGTGATTAATAAATGATCAGTTTAGAGCCTCCACCAAATGGATGTCTGGCCAATATGTAGGTTCAGAATCATATATCCACTTACCAGTTTCACCCCTTAGACAAATCTTTTGTCTGTTCCGCACTTAGATGCTTTGTAATAGCAAAGTCAATCTTAAAGTTTCAGTAAAAACCAGCCCTTGCCAAGCGTCTTGTTTCCTCATCTCCTAGACAATATACACTCTACCAAAAATTTTTAAAAGGAAAAGAATAGAAGCATAGACTTTGTAGTGACCAGCCATGAATTACTGGTACACTAGTTCAGCAGGTACATATGCATATTTCTGTTTGACTCTCTTTTTTTAAATAAGAAGCTCTAATTTCAATGCTTTGAGGTTTGTATTTTTAATTACCAAGCAAGATGTTTTAATGGTCCAAAAAATATGCTTTTGTTGAAACTACAACATATCCCTTTATGCTGAAATTGAATAATGTTAAAAATTACTATCATTCACTTTGGCTTTTAATTTTTAAAAAAATTTATTTATTTTTGGCCGCGTTGAGTCTTTTGTTGCTGCGCGTGGGCTTTCTCTAGTTGCAGCGAGTGGGAGCTACTCTTCGTTGCCGTGCTTGGGCTTCTCATTTGGTGGCTTCTCTTGTTGCAGAGAACAGGCTCCAGGCGCCCGGGCTTCAGCAGTTGTGGCTCGTGGGCTCCAGAGCTCAGGCTCAGTAGTTGTGGTGCACGGGCCCACTTGCTCCGCGGCACGTGGGATCCTCCCGGACCAGGGATCGAACCCGTGTCCCCTGCACTGGCAGGTTGCCTTCTAACCACTGCGCCACCGGGGAAGCCCTTGGCTTTTAATTTTTAAAATAATACATTCTTTCAATCACTACAGAAGTTTTTAAGTTAAAAAAAAAAGGACCGTAATTTATTTAACCTGCCTTCTATTAATGGACATTTAGGTTACCTCTAGTTTATCTCAGTTACAAATGACATTGCCTCGAACATCTTTGACCCTACACTTTTGCCCATTTGTGTAATCTGACCACATCTCCCCACTTCACAGCTTGCTCCCCAGGTCCAAGGCCCCATCCATCTCTTGACTGGATTGTTGGAATAGCCTCCTGAATGGTTCCCGTTTTTGTCCTTGTCCTCCTTCAACCCATCTGCAATGCAGCAGCTGGAATAGTCTTTTTTTTTTGGCTGCGCTGCACGACTTGCGGGATCTTAGTTCCCCGACCAGGGATTGACCCACAGCAGTGAAAGCGCAGAGTCCTAACCACAGGGCCGCCAGGGAATTCCCTGGAATAGTCATTTTAGAATGTAAGTCAGATATTGTCCCTCTCTGGTCAAAACTTTCCAGTGGCTTCCCTCTCATTCAGAGTCAAAGTCAAGGTCCTTCATATACCCTGAGAAAACCATAATTCAAAAAGTCATGTAGCAAAATGTTCATTGCAGCTCTATTTACAATAGCCAGGACAGAAGCAACCTAAGTGTGAATCAATAGATGAATGGATAAAGAAGATGTGGCACATATATACAATGGAATATTACTCAGCCATAAAAAGAAACGAAACTGAGTTATCTGTAGTGAGGTGGATGGACCTAGAGTCTGTCATACAGAGTGAAGTAAGTCAGAAGGAGACAAACAAACACCGTATGCTAACACATATATATGGAATCTAAAAAAAAAAGAAAGAAAAAAAATGGTCAGAAGAACCTAGGGGCTAGACGGGAATAAAGATGTAAACCTACTAGAGAATGGACTTGAGGATACAGGGAGGGGAAGGGTGAGCTGTGACAAAGTGAGAGAGTGGCATGGACATATATACACTACCAAACATAAGGTAGATAGGTAGTGGGAAGCAGCCGCATAGCACAGGGAGATCAGCTCGGTGCTTTGTGACCACCTAGAGGGGTGGGATAGGGAGGATGAGAGGGAAGGAGACGCAAGAGATATGGGGACATATGTATTTATAACTGATTCACTTTGTTATAAAGCAGAATCTAACACACCATTGTAAAGCAATTATACTCCAATAAAGATGTTTAAAAAAACCCAAAAAACAAAGTCCTTACAATGGCCTATAGAGCTACATTGTCGGCCCCCATTGCCGTTACCTTTCTGTACCATCCCCTTCCATACTCCCCTCTCTGCTACAGCCAGATGAGGAGCTTCCTTGGTGGTTTGTTTGTTTTTCTGTTTTAA